CACACACACACACACACACACACACACACATATATATATATTGCATAAAACATAAATAAAAAAAATAATAGATTGAACTACTAAAACTATTATACAAAATAATAAAAAATAATATTGTAAAAGGATAAAAATTGTGTAAAATATTATAAAATAATAGTATTTTTATGAATTTGATGAGAAAAAAAAATAGTAGTAAAACAAAATTTGCTTCATTGTGTGTGTCTCACCATAGCTCCATACATCACTCTGATGTGTGAACTTCCTGTAGTGAATGCACTCAAGGGCCATCCACTTAATGGGCATCTAGAGTAGGGAAAAAAAAAGGTAATGCAAAGAGCATTTCCATATCAATACAGCAAGACAATTTAGATAGTTTTGATTAAAGGATGTATAATAATGAAGAATACTTTAATTGTTTCGGGGAAGGTATGAAATGCAACATTAACTGAGAGTCCCAATGAGAACCATCAAACTTTCACACAAAGGATTTAAGAAAGTTCTTTACAAGAAAAACTGCTGGCTAACACAAATTAATACTGCTGATTTTCCATAAATCATCTTTGGATTTGATTTGCTTTTACCTTGTAGTGCATTCTGATGCATGTTTCAAACACTGACCTTGCCTCCATCCGCACTGTACTCTTTTTTATCGGTTTCCAGCAGTCGAGCTAGTCCAAAATCAGTGATCTTAATGTGGTTTGGAGATTTCACCAGGACATTACGGGCCGCGAGGTCCCTGTGCACCAGCCGCCTCTCCTCCAGGTACATCATACCCTGCCAAAGAGGAGACAAAGAGGGCACAGTCCTGGTTCATATCACACAGCAACAAGTAAAGCAGATCATACAAAGCTACATCACCCTACCACTCATATAGACCACCACTATACAAATACATCAGGGATTTAAAAATAGGCCTGTCAAATTAGATTCCCTTCCTAAAGATAGACAGTAAATTAGTGGGACATCTAATCAAAGTTTAGTTTACCCATGTTCTCTTTACCCGTGTTCACTTCCATTTTGCTGCTTTGGGTCACTGTGCATTAATACTGATCTTAGTGCCTCTACAGAAGTTTGCCTATGATTTATGGCTTTATGTTAATCTTCAATTAAAATGCAACTTCCTGGCCTTTGGGAGGAGAGGGGAGCTGTCCTGGAGGGGCTGCTGGATCTCAGCATATGCTTGAAGAAAATCACTGATAGCGAGGTTCAAGGAAATGGACCTGTGGGCTTGTTCTGGGAAGTGCTGAACAGTCATGATAGAAATGACTGTGGCCGCATGACAGCACTATGAAGGACAACAGCACATGAATTGAGCATTGAGGATGAAGCTGAAGTGAAACTGCAAGAATACTGGCCACTGGAAACACACTGTACAAATAATCATTGAAATGTGTTTGTTTGAGTTCTGCTGTGTAATTGCC